CTTATTTAGGATATTTAGGATAAAATCTGTCTAATTTATTTGATGGATGAGTCTCAAGTCCCCCTAACCTTTGAGTTTATGTACCTCAGTACTATGGGATGGGAATCTAACCTACAACCTTTAAAACAAGGAATGTTTGATGGGTAAACAACAAGAGGGATGACAGGGGAGGCAAGGTGAAGCTTCCAGAGCCAAGAACAGCTAAGCATGGTGGTGGTAGCATCATACTGTGGACTGTTTGACTCTTAAACCAATTGGTGCTTTGCAAAGGTCCCGCCTGTGTGAACAACTATAGCTGTCTGAGTGGTGAGCTCCCAGTGTCCGGTTTACCTGAGTTACTGGGCGATCTCTGGCTGCCGCGCCGCGACCCCTCAGGCATGGTGCGAGGATATCAAAGGAAGCAGAAACCTGCGGAAAATCAGGAAAGAAGCAACAATTAGCAGAAAACAACAGCAAGACAAGGTTCAGTGGAGGAAAGGACGACCTTCATGGAGCGCTCGCTTTCCCTTTGTGTGAAAACTCTGAGCACAGATGTAATGTTTGGCTGCGGAACAAGAATTCGCTCTCTTCATATTACCCTGAGCATGTGTGTGAGTGTGAGTGGCGGCGTGTAACGGCCTCCTACAAACTCATTGATACAGTTACAGTCTGACCCAGTTAGCCCACCGGACACAAACAAGTGTTCCTGCAGCTGTCTGCTCAGAGACCAGGGATGTGGGTCACACAGGGGGAGGACAGGGGAGACAGACCTCTAGGCGTCCGGAATACCAACAGGATGCACGGCTGCTCGGCTGGTTGTTGGGTGAAATCCTTACGTAACTTTGGGAACACCTGTCTGCCTCGACCGGATCAGGATTTTTAAGAAAGGTCAAAATGATGGATTATAAAGCCTTAACGAGATTTCTGACTCATTTTAGGAATGAATGACCCAGCAAAGCAGCTAAAATATGTGAGATTAAAAGTCCTGTTAAGGTTCCCATCAGTCTATCCTCTGGGTTAATCCTGACCCGACAGATGGTTTGCTCCACAGAAAGAAGTCCGATCCAGCATCCAGCAGTTTAACTCAAACTGAACTTTAATCAGGAAACAAAACCACACAGAAGAGGTCGAAGACCGAAACTTAGTGGAAGAATTGAAAATATTTGGCACTGGAGGAACAGTGGGGGGAACGCTTGAAGTCCTGGTCCGGTTTCAAAGATCTAACCAGAGCCAGACTCCTCTGTCAGCGCTCCACGGTCTTTTAGGAAATGTCCATTAAAGTTTGTATCATCAGTCTGAGAAACAGCTTCTTTGTTTGAACACTTCATGTCCAAATAAAGTCTCACTCTGGATATCACGTTCCCACATCTTCCTTCTGTGAGACGATGCGTCTGCAGAGAGAAAACGAGCACAGAGTGATGGATCGGCTCCAACGCTGTGGTTAACCAAAGGTCGCGTTACAGCGAGGTTAAACACACGGTCATGTTTCCGTCACCTTTCCCACCTACAACTTTCCTTTCATTTCCTGGGCATGAAGAACTGTTCCCTGATGGACATTTACAGCAGGAAAGACTCAGGTCGCCATCAGAGAACTATTTTCTGCTTTTACCCGGTGAGATGAAACATAAATCAATGAAAAGAATCTAAAGCAAACCATTAAGATCCAACAGAGAAAGACTACAGGATCTTTAGTTTTAGTTTTAAAGACATCTAAAACATGCCCTTTATGAGAACCCTAACATCATCTAGTGTATCTAGCCAGTATTTATTCCCAGTATTGGCTTGTGTCCTGGTATGAGCCTATCTGTGCCCTTTATGACACTCATGTCCTCTTCTGTGTTTGCAGAAATGTCTGGAAGCGATTCCGGAAGAACATCTAGAATCGTTAAGACCTCAAGTCTTCCAGAGACCTTCTCCAAGGCAGCAGACGGCCAATTACCAAACCAACGGCATCACTTATGCTACGTTCAGACTACAAGCAGCAGAGGCAAAAAAAACGCCTGTGCTGCTTAATTTATGATGCTTGTATAAGTTTAGTTCTAAAACACGGATGAAGCATCTTTGTTGCTCTGTGGGGCTGATGCGCGTTGGGCGGAGCTACTCTATCCTTTCTTTGCCTGTAACAACAGCAGCTATATTTGCTGTGAGCAGTGGGTAAAAAGTACTTTGAATATGTTTTTAGGTGAAATAGTCCA